GGCTTGGGAAGAAAGGGCTGGAGAAGTAGCATACCTGTCCAAAAGAGTACTTCCCCCTCACGCGAAAGGCTGCCTTCGGCTTTATCAAAGAACCCTGGATACGAGTTATGCAATCAGCATTGCCTATTCAAAAGGAAACGATGACCACAGAGCAAACGCTTCGCAAGCATGACTGAAGACTCGGAATCTAAGTCTAAAGAAGGATGCTTACACGTCAAGTTCTCGTCGTCACTTTTCACAGTCCAAACCAGCTTAGGATTATCTCTGAGCAGCGCAGCGAAGACGTTGTCTGCCACGTTGGTTAACCATCCGGCCTTCGTTATGGTGAATGTGGCGAGCTGGGCCATTGAGGCTCCTCCTTGTGGGGGAAGAACGATAGCGAGAGCTTCCATAGGCTCATCGAAGTATGCCTTGAAGTCTCGCTGGTCCAGATGCTGTACGTATCTATCGACGGTCGCGGCTGCATCAAGTGCTTCTCGGTCCCTCACAAGAACCTTCTTGAAGGCTTCGAGGTCTTCAAATTGAGAGAGCTTGGTGTTGACGTGAACTTTGTTGCCTCTTCTTATCAGTGTTCCAGCACTATGAACAATTGAGTCAGAATTGCTTCGTCTCGGGCAGGAAACCACGAAATATACATACCCAGTGTCCGTGAACAACTCTTTTTGGAGGTCCGATGGCTGTCAGAGAACACAGTGTTAGTGTTGCTCTTCAAGAGACAATCCGAGTATTCAGACAGTAGTGGGTAGCAAAGAGAGCATCAAGCTCCCGTAACATGTCTTGAGATTCGATGGACAGTCCAGAACGACGAAATACCAGATGGAGATAACATACATGAATGATGGCAACGCTCGAAGTTCGAGGGAGGTCAGCCAGCAGGTCGTTCATCTCCTTGATCTTCAGCCTGGTACCGTGACGTACCCACCAGTGCCTCCCTGACATCAAATCTTCGTATTCCTCATCTAGGTTGATGGCGGATATCTTTTCTTTGGTGTCACCATTGAATAAGCCGCCTTTCTCACTCAAATATACGATCTTTAGCGGTTGCAATGCCCGTGCCAATTCTCCTGCTGCAACATCTGCGTTCACATTGAGAACCTGACGGCCAAGGTTAACTTGGTAGCTGGGAGAGGCGATATCAATGCTTACCTGGCCATCAGAAGTCTCACTCATCGAGGTCATTATAGGTAGACAGCCTATTTGACGATCAGCCGTGAAACTTGAACTTTGTGGAAGTGCTGCCGACCCGCCCTGATGCTGGCCTCTATCGGGTTCTTGTCCACGCTAGTTATCTTTCCGACCAAATCGTACTTTTCCTTGTCAAGAAATTCCGCACCGAAAACACCGGATGTGATGGGCCTTGCGCGGACACCGACATTCTCCAACTCTTCAACAAGCTTTAAATTTTCTTGGAGGAACAAAGATCTTGCGATCCCCAGTGTCTTTCCATCCGTTATTCGTATGCCTCCTTCAAATTGTGGTTCGACCCCTGCGTCCTCCTGTGGCACATTTTGGCGTCAGCATCACCTCTTCAAGTGGTACCGGATAGGTAGGAGGTCAAGTGCGCACCAGTATCTTGTTTAGCTGCGGACCCGCCCCATGAACGACCACCTAGCCGAGTCAGTACTCTGTATTTGAGAAGGAGCAACAACCCAGGAATTGGATAAAAAGAGGAATCATCAAATCGGGATTCACGTACAGGATATAGCCCAATCTGTGCCAAAAATGCCAGCGCAGAGACCAGAGCCTCGAGATGTTCCGTAATAATGGCTCCACCCACTTTAATGACTGGATATCGCAGTCAGTTCTGCCTATTCGAGGGGACTATTCGAGCCTTGGTGCTGTTCCGATAGTAAACACAGACGAGATATGTTTGAAAGACCAATCTTTGTCCAAACAATAAATATGGACTCCGAGATACGTACCAGCGAATTGTTGTGACGAAACGGAGGAGAAGTGGCTCAGGTATTGCTGCACCTCCCGCTTCGAGCCAATGTTGCTGAGCAGTTGGATGACAGTTGAGCGTGTGGTGAGGGAGGAGTCAGCAGGAGATGCAAAGTGTCGTCGCCATGGCTCGGACACTTGGGCAGCTGCTGCTGGGACGACTGCTCGTGGCAGGCGAAGGCTAGATCGTAGAGGGCCCTTCGCAAGCCGACAGCCTCTGACTGCGGCCAGGGCAGCGGAGGAGCGGAACGAGAGCATGGTTGCTTCTAGGCCCCCAGCATGCGGCTATGGTGGTATTCTCCTCGTATCCTGAGCAGAGACGAAATCCGGGGCACGTTGAGCGCCACGTGAGGCTTGTGGGGGGGTCACAACTTTGTGGGAGCGCACACTTTGCAAACGGGTTCACTCAAATTCAATTGTAGAGGCGAGTAGGCAGACCGAAAGGGAGGAAATGTGTGTCGAATTTGTGAGCGTTGACGGGCTCACGTGGAAGTTTTTGTTTAGGGAAAAGCAATTCGTGTGTGGACGTGCCAATTTTCCCCACCAGAAAATTCTCCATCTGACGGAATTTCTCGCTTTGCGGCATCGGATGCGGAGAAACTAGCGCCCGATGGCTATAGGGCTGACCCATCCCCTCGAGTCCTTCAAAACCCTCTCATCTTTCTTTTCTCAATCAGGGCATCGCATTACTCGTTACCGTCACACTATTGCGCTATTATTAGCTAGCATGGATCACGCCTGTAGCCACAGCGACCACCCATTTTCAGCTTGGAAGGCATGCCTTACGCAACCTTCGACCCAATTAAGATCAAGGCTGGAAGCCAACGGCCCTTCGCCCTCTCAGGATGCAATATCTTTTTTCGCAAATGCTTTATGGTCATGGATAGATAGACGACCTATCCTCAAGCTCGGTCTATCAAGTGGACTCGGAGCCCAGCGTTGATTGATTAAGAGCCAAGGTGCCTTGCGAGAGGACGTCCTCTCCAAGATTCCATACACTGCAATGGCTACTGTAAGTGACCCGGATAAGTCACCAGCCAAGCACGGACATGGCTCTAGCAATACTGACACGGCTTAGAGACCATTTTGTATCCGGCTCCTACATGTTGCGCTCTACGATCGAGGCGTACAGGACGCCAACGCCACCCTACCCACTCTGCACGACACTACAGATCCCATAACTTCGGGTACTACGCCCCATAATCTTAATACCGGCTTCGCTAAGACAGACAAGGATCTCTGGCGCTTCGAAAGCAAGAGCATTCCTCAAACTGGCCCCAGCCTGCTACTGGTTCGCATAACCATCATCGAGGTAGTGACTAAGGTCAGCTACTCGATATTTGGAGGGTGGGGTACTCTGGTCCGGTAGGACATCGAGACTGCACTTGCCGAACCTGGCTTCGTGATGCAAGCGACGCGGAGACCGAGACGACATCTTGGGTCCGCGGGTGATGGAATGGGAGAATATTGAAGCGCAAGCACGTGCGTACGTAGCGAAGAGAACTTCGGCGGACAGATCGGGAATGGCTGGGCCTTGGGACATCAGGATGTCGACTACGTGGAGCATCCTGGAGGGCAAAAAGATGGTGACTTGACGTCAGAGACAGAAGGTTGTGGTGAAGCCTCTAAGTATCAGCACTTTTGGACTGATTTTACCAGATGTGAAGATTAGTTGAGGACCCAGTCAGCACCCGTATGGCAGATGACAGCGTTGAGAGGTAGTGACTTGCTCCCAACCTGGAGCTCTATTCAACAACGTTCGGGATCCGGAGAAGGATCCCAGCCCAGTGAAGATCCGCTGGGCCACAACAATGTCCAGAAAAAAACTGAGTGACCTTCACATCATATATTACCTTGTGCATGAAAAATTGCGTGAGCCAGGACTTTTGGAGTTGGAAGAGCAGAATCCTGGCACCACAGAACATTGAGAGGATGTGGGTGTCGTTACCAGATTCATCCACATCAAGGAGAAGCCGCCTCAATCCAGGGTTTAGGTCACAACTACACCCTGAATGCTCTCTTTATACGGCATTGAACACGCCACTGAGATGCAATTCCGATTCCTGAGTCAAATTCTGCTGCATCCTCATCACAAGCGTATAACTTTGCACCTTTGTTCTTCTTTATACAATTCTCACTCCGCAAACAGTGCTAACGCCGCCATCCCAGCAAAAAATCCGAAAAGATTTTTCAATTTTGGATGGAGTACGTCGTCAGGGTTATGTAGCTCAATTCAGCGGTTGAGACTGGAGGACACCAGACTCAAACAGAACAGTGAACCGCGGCGTCTAGTCCCAGATCGTAGGAAAAACCTTAGTTTTCTATAGATCATGCACCGCTTGAAGCCGCCGTAACGCCACCATTTCACGTGCATCCATGAATATTACTACTCAATACGAACACCATATCTCCAATACCCCTCAATTTCGATCTCTCGTGCAATTAAAAAGCCTCATTATTTTATAAGAAATCTCCCTTCTTTTCTTTTCTTATCTTTATCTTACTCACTCATCTTCAATCTCATTTTTGCTACCAATGCATCAACAAGAGCTACATCGTCTGTTCCATTGGCGAATGGCCCACAGCCTTCACAAGCAAGGTGGCAAGGCGTGCTTGTTCTTTCCAGTGCAAGGCTGACGACACAAAAGCCGTCTTCATCAAAAACCTGAATGCGCCTCCAGGATCCCTTCTGGACCCTGGGATATCCCAATCAATTTCTTCGCCAAAAATGCTGAGCCCAGCGCCTTGCAGCGAGAGTCTGAGTGGAGTATCCAATCATACCTGGACACACATGCAAGCTTATCATGATGCATTTGCTAGCGCAAGGCTGAGCTGAACAAAATGCGGCGGAAAAGGGGGGGTGGGCTTGAGTGTCTGCCTGCTTTCCGCGCTTACTTTTCTTTTTCTTCAGTCATACTTACTCTGTGCTCTGCCATCTCATATATCAGCAACCTGAACATTTGTGGCAGCGGCTTAAGGCAGCTCAGCTAGATTGCCACTTCAAGTATCAATCTACCTGCCCCGTGATCCAAAGCAGTGAATCATCCACTGTCTTTGTAATGGATCCCTTCTCCCTCGCCGCAAGCATCATCACCGTCATTGGCGCTACCAAAACCGGCATCAACGGCATCAAAGTGCTACGAGGTGCTTCCGACGGGCTGGAGGATCTGCTGGCCGACATCTCGCAGTTCGAAGCCGTGTTGGAAGCGATTCAAAACCTACCTGGTGCTCGCGATAATGCTGACTCCGAGCTGAAAAGGCTGCTTGAAAGTGGTAGCAAAAAAGTGGTCGAACTGAACTCTCTGGTCCAGTATCGGCTGACGAAAGCTGGGGAAAGCAGCAAAGTCGACAGATTGCAATGGATACGCAGTGGGCATGACGTTGAACGGCTACGTGGGCAATTGAGAGATATCATAGCTAATCTAGTGGCCTTGGTCGGCGTCAATACCTGGTATGCCTAGCTTCTCTCTCTCTGCATCTACATGTGAGAGGGACTTTATTGATCGCTAAAACTCTCTAAAAGTACAACCGTACAACACGTATCCCAAGTCACCAGTCAAGTACTCTTTGAGCATCGACAACTAAGCAGCCAGATGGTCGCTTTAGCTACACAAGTGACGCAGCTACTGGAAGGATCTCCGTCCACTCGAGCCGCTCTGGCTGCATCGATGGGCGATGTTCGACATCTGGCCATCGAATCAAGTCCTCGACCAAAAGTTCCGGTTACCGAGAAGACTACAACACTTGACCTAAGCCAGCCCAAGTCCCATCTCGATCCTCAAAACGATCTCTACATCCGACGAGTTCGGACTATCAGCTTGTGTAACAAATATTGCGTCTGCAAGTGTCATCTTCGAAGACAACTCGGCCCCTCAGGCATCTTCTCCAAACTCATCGGCAGTGGCTATATCGAGACAGCTGGTCCTTCCATATTTGGGACTCAGTGCGATATCGAGCTATGCAGGGCTCGCGCTGCACCGCGCGTATCTGTACAGTATCGTTTACCGCAATGGTTGATAAGTCGTATGATCTTCATGTGGTTCACATCATCTCCGCCTTACGCTCCAGAGTTTGTGCTTAGAGTTCCACGGGTCATAGATTTTTGGAGCACCAACGCTTTCCAGGCAGTGGGAACGGGAGATCTTGGTTTGCTGAAATCAGCTATCACTAACGGAGATTGTACGCCGTATGATATTGATACATCTGGGAGAACTCTTCTTGCTGTAAGAATAAACATAAAGATATTCAATTTTGAGGTGAACTGTTAATGATTCTTGTTGTCCAGTGTGCCGCTGATGATCGCAAATGGAAGATAGTAGAGTACCTTTTAGCTTACGGCGATTCCTCCAATCGATCATCTATCACACCTCTAGCAGAAAGTATGATATGGGAAAAACTCGTCCTCGACCCACTTTCTTTTGGAAATGGTTTGAGGCTTACATACATCTGGCCAAGACCATTCCGAGTTGACATACTCATGTTCCCTATGATTGAATGGGAATCCTGTATAGAGGGTCAAGGCTTCACAGTACTACACCAAATGGTGTGTGGACTAAGCCGTCGTTCGTTAGATGTCGAGCTGCAAAGCTCGAACATCAACGAACTAGATAAAGATAACCGAAGCGCTTTGTGGTATTCGGTCGCTCATGGGAAAAGGGAATACGTCCACTTATTACTAGAGCGAGGAGCTGATCCGAATGTCGGCGATCTGCCTATCCTGATCGCTAGCGGCGTACGCTCAGACTATGAAATTACAAAAGCTCTTCTGGATGCCGGTGCGACTCTTAATTTCTCTAACGACAAAGAATTCTGGAAATTGTGGCCGCGATGGCCAGTATGCTGGGAGAAACGTGAAGATGAAGATGATACTATAGCAATTGATAATCTACTCGTCAGACATGGCATTGATATCAACCACCATGCGGAGTGGCGTGGCGTCGAGGATGTGACTATACTCATGCTCCTATGCGATTTTAGCCCTCGATTCATTTCACCACTTCGCATACAGCAGATGATCGATTTGGGGGCCGACCTCGAAATGGTGGATGAGAACGGGGAATCTGCCATAATGTATGCTCTCCATGACATGAGTCCCAAGTCCTTCGAAGTGCTTGCCCGCGCTGGCGCCCGCCTTGATGTCCGAAATGTAGCAGGAAACAGTATTTTACATCTTGTCATCAAGTGTACTTATAGTATCAGCTTTTTTTACGAGCTTTATCAGGTTTTGCGCAATGCAGATCTCACCAAGCTAGATCTGCATGCAAGGAACGCAGATGGGCATACAGCTTTTGACCTTCTGAAGATGAGGAATGGGCTCAAATGGGATGGGTATTGCGAAAGCAAGGGGATACCGGATTGGAGAAGGCCACGCAATGATTCTGACGAGATGGATTTCATCCGTGCTTCGGAGGTTTTATTCCATGATATTCAAGATCTTCAAGACGTTCCAGAAGAAGATCGGTACCCGCCCCTCGGCGAACATCTCAGCGGCGATGATGAAGAAGAGGTAGTCCCAGGAGCGTGGCCTGTGTGACAGATGCAAACCCGAACATCTGCATCCGAAGCTAGAGAAGACACGCTCTCCATCTACGAATCTCATATCTAAGACTCTGCTCCTGCAAGCTCAGCACTCGTGCAAGTGCCGCGCTTCCAGCCCAAGCTCAGAAAAATGGTCCGTCAACGGGTCTAAGTCCAAGGTCTCTACGCTGGGTTCGGAAGTGCGATCACAATAGACAGTTCTCAGATTTTAGAATTCATTTTTCAAATTCCTTCACACTTCAAGCCACAAATCCACGCACTCCTATGCTTATGATCCCTTTTCTAAACAACACCTCGCAATTATCACCCCCAACACACCCCATCAGACACCCTCCCTCTCAGCCTTCTCCACCCCACTCACTCATCTCCAATCTCACTTCACAATTTCCAGACCCCACCTCTCCCCCCCCCTTCTCATCTCACCAAACCCACGCTCGACCCTCTTCCTCCACCCCACTCTCTCTTCCCACAAAATCCGCCATCAAACCCTCAACAACTCCATCGAATATTCGCCCAAGAACATCCATCTCCCATCTCCCCTCCAAAACGGGGCAATCTAGGACCGACATTCTAGAATCTCCCAAGGCGCCAACGTGAAGAGAAGTCGAGGCGAGGGGAAGGAGCTCGCTCTTGTTTACATCATGATTCATCATCTCCTCATCACGATCCGAGTAAAAAGCTAGCCGTTTTCGGCCTACTTGACTACGCCCTCTTTGAACGGCTTTTATATCACGACCCCCCTACCCACCCCCTCGCCCCTTTACGCCACCCAGACGGACTAGTCCATCACTGGCGCGCTCAGCGACGCCTACATGATCTCCGTGGTGCTATTCACATCTAAACACATCGCCTTTACTGGCTTCACATGTTGAGTACTGATCACTCAAGTCTCGGCGCCTCGTCATCCACACTTCCCCGTCAACGGCTCCAGGCTCAGAACTCTTACGGGCCAGCCAGCCATCTGGCTTGGTGACGTCTGAAGCTTGCCAAGCGAAGGAGCCATATCGGATGGGTGGGTGGGTGTCTGACGGTAGCGCCATGTTTGGGTACCTTGTTGAGCGTAATGCTAGCCTTTTATTATGGACTTGGATTTGTAATAAATCGAATATAAAAAGCGTGACCTGGTCTGCCGGTTGATTGTAGTAGACACACCTGCCAGCTATACATACATGCCAACGACAACTCGCTCGCCAAATCACACTTGCTGTAAAGGTATCAATGACTAAATCAGACAGCTCCTCACTCAACACCCTCTCCCGCACGTTCAGCTCTTCTGCGGATCATACTTAACGCGATGCCAAGCCGCCGTCAGATTCCCCCTGAGGTTGAACGTAGGCTCGTGATGCTCCGGCTGCCCGTTGTACGCCTCATCGACCGCTTTCACCACCACCGTCGCGCCCACCAACTTCTTCTCCGGCACGGTGTACTTCCAACGCTTCCAGCTCCAATCGTGAATGCCGTTATTAACAGGGTCAATGTCCGTCTCGGCCTGATCCCACGTACGGCCGTCATCCGTGCTAACGTCCACGCGGATGATCTTCCGCCCTCCGCCTGAGAAAGCGTACCCCTCGATTACAACATTCTTGATCTCGTCCTTTGCCTCTTCTCGATGCATGCACGTTATGGCGCTCTGAACCGGCGTCTCCTGTATCGCTGGCGCCATGTCCCAGTTGGGCTTCTCGGTATCGTTCGGCCCAAAACACTTATAATCCCTTCTCTGCCACTGACTCGTGCTCTCTTCCTCACTCATGATGATCCTAGTAACCCACTTCACGCTCCTTGCCGCCACATGACCGGGCGCAACCACCCTGAGCGGAAAGCCGTGGTCTGGGGGGATAGTCTTCCCATTCATTTGACACGCTAATATCACATCGCCACGTGGATCGATGGCTTTAGATAGTGGAATCGAGGCGCCGTAGGTTTCTGCACCGACAAATTGGGCATGCTGCACCTCATCTGGAGGATCAGCGACGTTGAAACCGGCGTCGGCCAGAACGTCCCTTAGCCGTGGGCCTGTCCACTCCGCGTTACCTATTGCGCCGGCTTCCCATTGCAGACCGTTGGTGGGCCGGGAGCCTTCGGTCATATGGGAACGCCGGTTGCCGGAACATTGGAGTGTAGCGGTGATTTTGTGCTGTTTGAAGTTTTTTCGGAGGTCGGACATGGTGTATTCTTTCTCTTCGCCGTCGTCGAGCTCGACTACAAGCTTATGCTCTTTCTCTACTATCCGAGGAACCCAGAGATGATTCCTCACATAGAAGATGTCGGAGGGTGTGAGGAAAGTGGAGAGGAGTGTTGTTGGCGACTCGGCATTCATAGGCTTGTCGGAATGGACGATCAGCCTTGGGTCTCTTTGTGGGTCCTGGACAAATGGATCCTCGATATCGTCAACAGGAACTTGTCCGTCTACTAAGTCTTGAGGATCCACGTGGCCAATCAGAAATTCCTCTAGTATGTCGTAGACTTCTTGCTTCTTATGGATACTGAAGATGTTCCAATAGGGATCAACGCTGCCGCCAGCTGCACGCAAAATCACGTTGCCGCCGGGGTGACCGGCGATCCAGTCTGTGATGTCGTAGACTTTTGTGCCTTTGATCACCCATGGGCTTTCTGAGTCTTTGTCGTGGGAGGATACTTCCGATAAGCGGAAGACCCTCTTGGCGCCATCCACCAGTCCTTCTTCCTTAGTGTTCTGGTCCTTGTCATCTTTGTGCTCGGATGGCGCTTCAGCGTGTAGAGTTGATGAGAAGTGCCAAGCTACCAGGATTGTCGCCGATAGCGACGCAAGGGCAGTAAAGACAGTCGGCTCAGAGAATTTCCTTTGCTTCTTGGGTAGAGAAGAGGATGAAGAGATGGAACGGGCTGGCCTCGTAGGGAGCAAAGATAGTACAGCACATCTTGGGCGGCCCAGGTGCTTAATGGTAGTGGTGCAGAGGCTACGTGTTTGATATGGAGCCCGCTTGGTCAAAAGAGCAGGGGTGTGAGTGAGATGCTGTACTATTGAAGCCATTCTCAATGTTTCGGTAGATAAGACGTTGGTTTCAGGCAGGAAAACTCGCCGACACTGAGCACAGGAGAAGAGATTTGATAAGGAAGGACTCCAATACCCAGATCGATTTAGCGCTATATCATTTGACTAGCCTGGCATGTGCCTGAGGTGAAGGAGACACTCCCGCGTTTCTGAGGTTGATCTGGTATTCTCTGGAATGTGTAGTGACTCGTAGAGTAGTAGCTACAGTGCAGGGAACAGGGAGGTACTCGGCCGAGCTAAGCTCCTCAACGCCAACTTCCTTGTTTCGTCGACTACTCGTATTCACTAGGATTTGCAAATACGAGTATCTCCGCCCGAATTTCATCATTTAAGTGATACCGACATCAGGTCAGTAAAGCTCAACTTCCACTGGAGCCCCGAGTCATCCGAAGCCTACAACCTACAACAGGCAAGCTCGACACATAGGTTGGTAAGGTACCTAGATGTTGCTGCTGTTGAGGGGTCCAAGTCAGCTTGACCGTTTCGGGTCGGCCGGAGAAGCTAATTGTAGATCCCGCTGGACCCTCCTTCCCCGAAGCTGCGTTCAGCTTAGCCTTCCCGAAGGCCCCGATACCGTACTTTATCGACTGAGGGATGTATTACATACGTTGGAGTATAAGCTCCTGTATCCTTGATATCATGCTACCATTCGGAATCCCTAGTTGCCTAGCAGAACACCTGGTAGACTGGCTTACCCTTCAGCAGATAATAGAAACCTGGGAAACGTATGTCTCCAAGACGCTTCAATGAATTCGCTCGCCGCCGCCCCGATGTCACCATCATACCTACAACCCATCAGTCCTCACGACCAACGTCACCTCAACCCGTCAGCGTGCAACAAAGGGACCCCTTGGGAACGAGGCTGAAAGCACGCCTGCACCAATCGAAAGCCCACTTCCAATCAGAAATCGCAGACGACCTTTTCCTCGAAGCAGAGCTCATGATGTTAGCCTTCGCGACTGGCATCATGGACGTGGTGACCTTTCCCGACTACCATGTCTTCGTCTCCAACCAAACAGGAAACAGCGCGCTCCTCGCCGTCGGGGCTCTTGGCCTTGGCGGTGATCTCATCAGCCTGCCGCATGTGGGCACAAGTCTTGGAGTGTTTGCTGCTGGTGGCCTGATCAGTGGCCAGCTTGGGAACGTATTCGGCCGCAAACGACGCCTTTGGCTCTTCGTCACAAATCTCATTCAGACAGCCCTGGTGTTTACTGCGGCCGGACTGCGCCAACGTGCGAGCCACAAACCGAGCATGGCGCTGAACCTGGGCATCATCGCACTTCTGGCTTTCGCGTCAGGTGCACAGGTTGCCGTGGCAAGGACGGTCGAGATACCAGAGGTCTCGACTGCCATGGTCACTTCGGCCTATATCGACTTCCTCGTTGATAGAAACATTTTTCGATTACACAATCGAGCGCGTAATCGACGTGCTATCTTCGTGGCGTGTTGTCAGAATATCAGGTATGGTAGAATAAGTAGTGTGTAGATTGCATGAATTCTTCCATCTCAGGACTCCCCTGGGCCAGTATTTGTACCCCTCACAAATTAGGTGGTTGTTCCAACAGGTGGCTGGGAGGAGGCTGGGAACCTTATTTCGACGCGTGTCTCATTCTTGGGAGCTTTATTGGGGCTATCGCGTACTTATACGTCAGTCCGTTCTTTGCTTTGTACATTTCAGCTCTCGGCCACTTGATCGTTTCTTTTGCTTTCCTGTTCAATCACGGAGCCCCCTCAGCCGTTGATTGCAACAGCTAGCGATAGAGATGATGTCGGCCCACATTGGTAATTCAGCTCACTGAAGCTATAAATGGGAGCAACACGCTTTCCCTTCTCAAAATCTGTGTCAAAGCGTCTTCACCGCCACCGTATCCATCAGATCGCCACTTTCAATCACGACACTTACTCGCTCAGCTCTATAATTACTGCCAATATCGCCAACACTGCTGTTACTTGCCTTTGACTCTAATGAAAGCATCATAATTTTGATTCGCGGAGCGGCTTCACTCACCATCTGTGTCATCTTAGCCGGACTTTGAGCATCCATCGCGTCCGTATTGTATGTAGTCTAATTCAAAGTCCTCCAGATAGTGGCCGACATGCCCAAGGATGCTTACTTGAGTTTCGATAAGTGAGGGACCGGTCGTGTTGGTGCTGCACGAATTGAGCCGAAGAAAAGAATACGCGAACGCTAACACCGTTGGGGAGCTGCAGAGGTGTTAGCTTGATGAGAGCTATTTGGAAAGTTATACTTCCGGGACAGAATCATGCGCAGAAGATCAGTGAACGTTCCAGAATGCGTGCCAGTGGTTGTCTTTCCAAAAGATTTGACGTATACATTCGTCCAAAAGGAAGGATAGAAACAAATTTGTGAAAAGTCGGATCGGAACAATTCTCCGTCTCCGGGGTGAGAAAGTTTAAGGAAGCTTTGCTGTATTCACCATGCGCGTATAACCCGGTCTGAGAGCCTGGCAAAAAAAGCAAATTCAAACAGTAGAAAGCGAAGAAAATTGACAGATTGTGATCCATCGAATGTGCACTCAATTTGTTTTCAGGAACGAACGAGGGTTTGCTATTAGCAATGGATCCGATCAGGCCCGGTGCGGCGATGTTATTGGTCGGCAATGCTAATATGCGAAAAGCACTCGGTCAATAACTAGGGCTTTGATCGTTGGTTTGACGAAACTTCAAAGCCATGCTGAACCAACTCGTCAAGCACCTGGTCATCGACTTGCTGGGAGAAGTATTCACTCGGTTCGAGCAGAGCTAGACGAACAGCGTAGCCTGAAGAACCAAGCGAAGCGGCAGAACATATTCTCAAGGCTCTTCGCTTCTCCACTCTTGCTTTCTGAAGCCGAAAGGGGGTCTCCAAGGACCCACGGAGATGATCATTGCCGCCTCACAGAACCACATCTTCGCTGCTGTTCACAGTGTCCTGTGGTTATCTATGCATTTCTGCAGAGATCCATGGTGAGGCCAGACTGTTTGGGAATAACTCCCGAAGTACACAGTAATGGTTACCTTCTTTTGCCTTCCGTCTGCTCTCTGGTGAGCTTGATTATCCCCATCAGCGATATCAGCTGATTGCATTGAATGAAGGTACTGCATCTCTACCGTTCGAGCTCGACATTAGGTGAGTACGACTGTATAGGGGAAAGGTATGCCAGAGGCCTTGCCGTCTCAAAGCCTTACGCATCCATACCCATAATAAAATCCCCAGTGAAATGAATCCAAAGCGGTTGCAGGCTTCTCAGTAGTCTGCCTGCTAGAAAGAGACTTTGGCAAGGTTCGTCAGCCGTACAGGCTGAGATACAACATACAAGGTCTGGGAATAGGACTTTCAAGGACGGTTCCTGTTCTTGGTATTGGCTGACTAGCTTGAATGTCCTCCAACATATCTGACCCGAAAGTCTTAGGAGCTAAGGTACTCTAGGGGGCAAATATCGGCGTTTGTGATTGTCCGTCGCCGGGACTAAGCCGAGTTGCGTATAGCATACCCAAATAGCGTGAATTCAAATGACACAATTCCCACAACCTCATGTAACTGTGAAGTCAACATCTTTGCTTGTGTGTCAACATCCTTGAAGATGGAGGAAATATAAAGGGTGGTACAAACCCTTCTCTGATATATATCCGTACATATATAAACCCTCGATAATGATTTTACCTTCCTTCCTCCTGGCTGCTGCACTCATACCAGATTGCCAGTAGTTGGATGGTCACGCACCATCCACGTCAACCATCACTTCATTTGCGCAGAACTCTTCTTCAAGACTGACCTTCTCGCCTCAGTAAGATCCACCAAGGTCATGCCGAAGTGTTTGGCACATCCGACCGGCTACTAACTCATACGCAACACTCACTGGCTTCGACTGGGGTGCTGGCTGGGCTATCACAGCCGCTTACGAAGCCATGCTCGCTATCTCTGCCCGCTGAAGCCACTCGCCCCACCAGTCCCAACGACCTTAGGAGAAGCTCGTCCGGACGCCACCGTACTGAATACTTGCGGATGAGGAAGAGACGAAGAGGACGAAGGAAAAGACTGAATGTTAGGTCCACCGCACCATGGGTTGCCGGTGAGTGGCCATCGCTAGCAGGACCCCAAATTTTTCCATGTTGGCGCCAAGAGGCTGACAAGCTCTAGAAATGACAAAGGAACCCATCGTCGGATGTCTGAAGGCCTTAGCGACGTCGATGAGTCCGGATGCCCAGCAGAGTACCAATCTCTCAGTCATCACTTTCCCTTCTCCGCCTCGCCATAGTCTCACTCTCCTTGGGCTGTACCTCACACGATGCCAGCAGCTGCGGCAATCAAGCCCGATACGTGAGCAGCGTAGCAACCTTCCACTCGGACCTTCACCTTATCCAAAGTGGTCAGATATGTCTCCAAGCTCTTTAAAGCGTCCTTGGCCACGCGACGTAGGTACGCGTCTAGAGGACTCCAGATGGTACAGCTCGACGGAGGTAAAGGAAGGCGCCTGTGGAGCTATAGAGTGAGGGTGTCAGCCATTGTCCTCTGCTTTGGCTTATTGGAACTCAGTGTTGTGGAACCTTTGGTAGGTCTTTCAGCTGCAGGGCGTTCTCCGTCTTGGGCTCTGGTGTTTCCTCCGAAGCTGCCAAATATAAATATAAACTGGTGGGGAGGTCAAGGATATCAGCCTATCCTCGAAGCAGCTGCATTCATGATACTCTGCTGGCCTAGGTGAGAAAATGTGGCAAGTAGAGGGCTCCCGGAGAGCTTCGGTTCAAGGATCTACCGGATCAGGCAACACGCCAAGCCTTCACAGAATTTCTACTTGCTACTGTCACTGCTGATCCGTCACCCTCACCATCATCAAAATCACCCACCGCAACATCTTCGCAGCTCATCTTGCATTTTCGGAAGCCTGTTGCACCTACACGTCTTCTGTAGACATTGAAGCTCGTGTACAGCCTTCTGTGCATCCATCCATCGGGCCCTCTTACACCTCTCAGCGGGTCTCAGCTCTTACGTTCCCACGGTCATGGCCAAGCGAAAGACAAGGGAGGAAGACGTCACGGATTCTCAAGACCAAGACGATCATGACCACAAGTCACCAGCAACGGACAACGACAACGAGGGTCAATCCTCTCATGATCACAAGTCACCCACAACGACCAAGGACAATGAGAGTCTAACCCTGCCGCCATTGTCTCATGCAACACAAAGCCGAGAAAAGAAAAGAGCCAAGGGAGATGCCAGTAAGGGTGAGGCGATCGATCGCTTGAAGACAACACATCTGAGCAAAAAGCCTCTCATGTCCCTCAAGTACGTACCAACAACACCCAACAGAAGTCACCTGATGCCTTTGAATATTATTTCATTGTTTTTGTTGTCCACTCCATCGACTTTGGAGCGCAGATACTTATTTTTCTTCACGATAGTGTTGGTAAAGCCAGGAGAAGCCGAGTACGCAAATCTGGCGATACGGAATATTGCGGCATTCCTTCTGAACGCATCAGGACACCGGAGCCAGCCGCACGCTCCACAGGTGATTACTTTTGCATTATATGTCGCTCAAGGTTTACCCGAGCTGAAGGCGTCAACTATCACTTTGGATCCTGTGTAAGAAGGTTTGGAAATCCGTATGGCAACAGGTGGAACGATCATCCATCCTGCGCGCCCAAGGGTACGCGTACAAATGATGTCGCTACTGGCCCATCGAACTCTGCGGCATACTTGGACCTAGAAGAGGGGGAACAAGGGGTGGAACAAGAAGCGGAGGCCGCAGTTCCCATACGATATGATCCGACGACTCTTGCTTCGGACTTTCTGCGGGCAATAGGCGAGCATCCAACCCTGCCGGCGCTCAACGCGCATATGGAGGGTATCAGACTTGTTTCCGAGCCATCTGCTCGCGGCAGCCTCCTCCTCCGTTTCCAGTTCCAGAAGCCTTCAACCGAAGGTCAGGGGAATGATGAAGCTGAGAATGTGGGCGCGGAACAGGAGGCAACTGCAGCCAAACGGAAGGCTTTTAGGGAGAAGAGAGAGGTCGAGAGGAAGGCAAGGATCGAGGCAGAAGAGGAATCCAACCCAATGACACCACGCCAATCGAGTCGACCTTCTCTCAGTCAAGACCCGAGTGGCAACGGCACTTTGAGTCAGAATCCTAGGGCATCACAGCCAGGGGTACTGCCCAGTGAATGGGAGATGCGCCGCACCAATGCTGGCTTAGTGCACTACGTGCATCAGCATACTCAGATCATCACTCTTGACGATCCTCGATTGACAACTCAACCTCGGCCAATAGCACGACACGGTGGTTTGCCCAGTGGATGGGGGATCAGTCTGTTGGTTACTGCAAATGGTCCACGGGTCTACTTTGTGGACCACAACAATGGAAGGAACACTTGGGTTGACCCTCGAGGGCCGTCGTGATAAGGTGGTCGGATCCATGAAAGACGGAGGGTAACTGGAGAACTGCTGAGACATTGTCTTGTTCTTAACGGTACTGATGTGGCAGGTGCAAATGCTCGACGACTACTGGTGGAGGCAGATTATATAGCTCTGCAGAATTGAAGCTGTTTGTCAATATTCGCACTACGAATATTGTTCGGTTTAGATGGAGTTCCAGTAGCAGAACGCACTCATATATCATCAGAGCGATTGTCTCATCATACTGAGTGTGAGATGAGAGGTATGAATGTACATTGACCCTCTGATCTAGCTAATCACGACACTACTCAGCTCGTATAGTCAGAATTCGCTGCGCTAGAGCGAGTTCATATAGTGTCCAAGAGAAAAAGAGTAGGACCTTGCATCGCGGAAGCTTCTCCTTCTCCAAACAAACCCCAAAGACAACTGCGGAAGATGGAGATGCTCTCTGAAAACCCCTCACCTGCATCATTACCCTCGACTCATACCTTCGCCAGAAGGAGCTCGACCAAATGCAGACTCCGCAACTATCTCACCTCGCTGCTTCGATCCTTCAAACCCTGGCGAACGACATGGACCGCTTCCTCACATCAAGAAACATGGTTTGTTACAAATGGATGAGAAAGTAGCATTTCGAGTCCGTGGACACTGATCACCTCCAAGCCCGTCTGCCCTCGCACATACCAGCTATTCTACAAACGAAAATGCAATCGAACCCCTTTAGCGCCAGAAAAAAGCCAAAACCGTACCCCCGGCTCAGTCGGGGCTCAGGCCGCTTTGAGGGTGAGTAAAGTACGAGTGACACGGCACCCCGTCGAGGCCATACAGCGATAATGAGCCCTCGACGCTCATCTCTCACCTACCCAAATCGCCAAATAAGGACTACCCGGAAGCTTTCGCACGGTCTAGTCTAGAGGGTTTAGGAAATGGATGCCGTGGTGGGTATGAAGGGGAGCGTTGCGTGGTCCACTCTGGGTCTTTTGTCCGGGAGGGTATGATTACCACATTCTGCATTACCCTCTCTGGTTCAGAGGATGATAGGTCGCAAAGCAGTGCCAAGCGAGCAGAGCAGGTGGTTCGGTGCGTTACGACCGGGCCAGTTGAGGGAGTGCCTTACGAGATGAGATACCCTTGATAAGGGACTATGCATACGGGGTTCGTAGAGATCATATCTTAGGATCGTGAAGTTCAAGAGCGCACTAGGACTCCCTGTGCTGGGTTACATAAGCATTGTTGAGCAACCCCTGACTACGCCTGTCGATGTTGGCCCTTCAGCCCTTTCTTACCACCCCTCGTCCTATTTCTACAAATTCCTTCCCTTACTGCTAGATATTATATAGAAAAAGGCATCCCTACTCCACTCACATCATCCAGTTCGCTTTTTCTCTTCAACCTTGTCCGCGGCAAGAGCCAATTTGAGAATACTACAGAATCAAGACAAAGACGTGACACCCGGCCGGATAGCTTCCAGCTTCTGCCTCAGCTCCACCCAAACCCGATCTTGCAGCTCGGCCCCCGCATCGCCATTGGTGAGGCCCGCCGTCGGCGTGATGTTGCAGTCCGGCACGTACTGGCCGTGGGATTCCGGTCCTACGCTGGCGCCGTGCACGAGCGTGCGCGCACCAACCTCGGTCGGGCGGGCCAGCATCTTTATAATGAGACGGACGGCGCGGTTGTCGTATTCGCGGTGGAGTTCGCTTTGGCAGAGGCTAGATGCGGCGAAGAAGGTTTAGCAGTTGATTGGATGACTGCTAACCAAGTGCAGATTCTTTTCCCACGGGGGGTTAGGGGGGCTTACCCAGGAGCCACACAGTTTACGATGACCCCGCTGGAATTGATGGGGGACAGAACGGCGATTTGCTTGACGATGAAGATCGCCAGCAGCTTCGAGACGTTGTAGCGGTCGAACATGTTGGCCGTGCTTTTATCGTTGAGGGTCGCGAAGAGCTGGCCGGCCGGCGCGTTGCGTTCTTTGAACTTGGCGACCTCATAGAGCTCCGAGGCGGTCACGGTGAAGTGGGTTTGCGTGCTGTATTTCGCGGCCGTCTCGCGGAGCTTAGGGTGGAGGAGGAAGGCGAGCAGGGACATAGAGACCACATTGGTGGTGATGGTCTCTTCGTTGTCTTCGGTCATTCGGAACTTCTGTGTTCCTAAACCGGCGTTGGCGATAAGCACGTCGACGCGTGGCAACTCAGCCTTGACTCTGTCGGAAAAGGCCTGGACTGAACTGTACGAGCTCATATCGAGGGGCCACACCTGGAGGGTGTCAGATGAGCACAAAGTCGTTGCTTCAATGTCCTTTGCTGCCGTCTTTGCCTTGTCGACATTCCGACAAGCAAGAATGACTTGCGACGCCCCAAGGCGAACCATCCAGCGGCAGGCTTCCAGACCCAGACCCGAGCTGGCGCCCGTGACAATGGCAGTCCTGCCCTTAAACGATGAGGTTGGGATGGGCGGTTCATGGATGAATTGACGATACACGAAAGCCGCCAAAAAGGACATGTTGGGCGACACAACTCCTTAGCAAAGCCGACCTATACTTTTGCTTTTCTATTCCGACTGTAGTGTGTTTCTCTACTTTGAGGGCAGCAAAGGAGTAAAGGGAGAGCAGAGATATATAAGCAGTAAAAGAAATTATGATGGAACAAGGACAGCATTCGCAGTATGTAGGAGCGATCTTGATTTCTACGGGAGCAGCTGCAGGCTATGTAGCCCACCAAGCCAAGTAAGCTATACTACATATGGCTAGCTTTAGCAAGAAGCACCTTTCAACTGCAATGACTCTATAATGATATTACATCTTCTGACAGCCTCTCTAGGCATGTACTAGGACTCACTCTTCGCATAGTCCATCTTAAAGTCCAGTTCGCCCTTGAGAAGCATGCCGGAGGTGGTATAGTACTGTATCAAGCCCATTATCACAGCCAATGAGCCTCCCTTGAAATGTACTTCGCTCTTCTCCCGGGCTTAACGATTTTAAGGGCCCGAATTTAAGGTATCTAGGGAAGTTGAGACCCCATTTCGGTGCGCCTATCTATTGCGTCGAAAAGCATGCCGTATGTGGCATAGTGTCGCATCAAGCCGCTGTCATTGTCACAGCCAATGAGACTCTTATGGGATATTAGTCAGCCGATCTCCCACGGAATACCTACCTTAGGTGTAGGCACGCGGGTGACAGAAAAACCTGCACACATTTATGAATTGCAAATTAAATAAGAATGCTTGGCAAAGCTGATTCAGCTCCGCCTCCGACTTTTTGTTAGCGCCATTCATAGAAAATTGTAGAGAACGTACTTGCCACTCTTGTACCAGCCCACTCCATATTTTTGAAGCTTCTGTATAGCCCAAACACGAATACGGTCAATGCCTCGGAATACCGTCAAGACGGCCACCAATGATCAGGGACCCTCTGGATCTCGTCGTCGCCCCTCCTCCAAGCGGGTCTCTTTCGCGGATAAGCAGGGCGATGCTGCTGCTACCACAGCCCAGCAGAAGAAGGAATAAGAGAAAATCCGAGTTGCTTAGGCAAAGACCAAAGCTGCAGCCGATAATCTACCTCATAATCTTCTTCGAGACTTAAAAAGAGATATATTCGTCTTTAAGGCCTTGTGGAGGGAGACTTACCAGCATACTTATGCTCTGGAACGATTAGGTTAGGGCGAAGGTCATAGAGAAGGTGGAGGATTTTGATTGATATTACGTAGTATTTCATTGTAACTACTCTGTTATCTCCATAGTCAAATGCTCCAAATCTCGTTCAAATGCCTCAATTTCGCCGTCAAATATGTAGCCTGCAGTGCTCTGCTTGAAATGCTCCCATCGCGTCCGGAGCAAGGGCTGGCGATGTGGCTATTACACGCCTAAGTCAGAGGCAAAACACCAGGAAAAGCGTGTATACCCACTAGCTTCGGTATCACGAATATCCAACTGAGGTAGCAGACGACAGTGGCTATTGCAAGAGTGGCAAGTACGTTCTCTACAATTTTTTATGAATGACGCTAACAAAAAGTCGGAGGCGGAGCTGAATCAGCTTTGCCAAGCATTCTTATTTAATTTGCAATTCATAAATTCAAATTAGAAATCTGATGACGCTTTCACAACGAAGAACCCTAACAGAAAGCTTTTGCGTAGTAAATTGAAAATTTCGATAACACTACTATATCGATCACCCAATCTAATTCATAAAGAGGGCATCCGTTGAGTTATTCCAGCTGACAAGGTGAAGAGATTTCTTGGTGTGTGCAGGCTTTTCTGTCACCCGCCGTGCTAGGTGACGGGCGGCAAGCCTCATGCGAACGCCCATCCTGCCAACATCTCTCAACGATCTCCCCGCCGATAACAAGCCCAGGAGCTCATCACGGTCCTCTGTGAGAAACCTTCAAAGGCTTGCGAAAGACGCAGAGCTCGAAGACTAAAGGTGAGTCCCAAGTCCGGCAATCGGTCTCTCCCGAGTCGAGATATATTTTTGAATGTAGTGCGATCTTCGAGTGGTGCTTGTGGCCAATGTCTCCTAGCGACTACTCTATGCCTTGTTCAGGATACCGGGACACACGGCAACTTCACATTCGAAATGAAAGCCAGTCTGTTGCGAGGAAAGTACTGAAAAATGCACCTCAGTTCGGGCCATGGCCCATTCCCCTGTCGATTCAATTTGCAAGCTCGAGATGCTGCACTAGCGACTGCTAGGGAGACATATATTATGGCCTTACGCATGGCCAACAAAACTCTGAAGTCTTCCCAGGAGGCAATCAAAGACACTACGTTGATGGCGTCGCTTCTTCTTGATCTCTTCGAGAAGATCGCGGACAGTGAACCTCAAAACAACAAGTCATAGACATGTCATGTCAATGGGGCCCTTGCTCTTGTCGAGTTCCATGGCCTTGAGCACTCTCAGGACCCTTCCGAGTTCAATATGCGAATCTACGCATCGAAATTCGGAAGAGTATCTTGTCTAACGATGAGTACATCGGATTGTCCATGGAGCTTGACGGAAAAATACAAGTGCTGGACTTTGAACTGCCACCATTTTGGCAATACTCAACTAGATTTCTGGACCACGATTCGGACAGGACTTTCGATCTTCACTTTGACTCCTACTCCAACCCAAGAGTGTGTCAAGCACGGATTGTTCTCCGAGTTATCCGAATCCTTCTCAATGAGTCTCTGCTTGAACATCATTTGGCGTCTTCTACAAGCGGCAACTATTTGGCACTGATATGAGTCGCACATGACAACATTGAAGTGTTGGCGGGCCAAGCATGTGCGTGTGTGCCGCAGTATGTGGACAGTGGTGACGCTACATCAGAGAAGTCGGATCTTCTGCACGAGACTCCGGATCAAATCCTGGATCGTGGCCTTGGGGGCCTCGCCATCCTATACTCCCAACGCCAATTAGACCGCTCTATGCTTGTTTCCCCACTTTATGTCACGGGAAGATCAAAGGCCGTTCCAGGCGTTTGGCCATGGGTCACCGGACAGTTACATTACATAAGCAGCCACTTCTACGTTCGAAATACTGAAGTCGTCGCTCAAATCCTTCAACGAGAAAGAGATGCCGATCCTTGGGAAGTGTATGCCACGCTTGGCAGCTACGCATTGGCCTCTCAATTGGGGAGACCACAGCCGTGTGACGCCCAGGCATATGAGGACTTTTAGCGTATTCAAAAACATCTGGAATGCTTAGCACCGGAGATCTTTCACATCACACACCCAAATTCGTACTGTAGCATAGAAATCTCCTCGCAAAATTATTCAAATCAAGTAGCCACATCACAAATAGTCGCATTTAATCAATTTTAAAACTATATAACCTCAGCTATACCTCCCAAACGCACTAATAAGGGCGAATTACATTTTCATACCCCAAACTATGGGATTCTTACAAATTCATACCCCATCTTACATTTTCATACCCCAATGGGGTATGAATTTGTAAGATACCATTAACAGAGGTATGATTTTGTAAGATACCATTAATAGGGGTATGATTTTGTAAGTTGCCATCTATAGGGCGGGTTGGTGTTAGGAATTATTCCTCCGAGGGCCCTGCGGGGCCCCTTAGGGGTGTCTGCAGCGTGAAGTACAAACGCCCCTATTTAACCCTTTAGCGGTAACTCGGGTTACTAACAATTGAGGTAGGGAGCCAAGAACACCCTAAAATACCCTTCTAATGATTTACAGGTATAGGGATATTGGTGGTATCTTACATTTTCATACCCCAAGAAATGGTAACTTACAAATTCATACCCCAAAGACTGGCAACTTACAAATTCATACCCCATTTTTTTGGTGAGGGGTATGAAAATGTAAGATGGGGTATGAATTTGTAAGAATCCCATAGTTTGGGGTATGAATTTGTAATTTGCCCCACTAATAACGTAGCAGCCATCGAACCGCCGCCGTCGCAGTAAGAACTACCCCCTTATAACTACTGAAATAGTCTCTGCTTAAGAAGCTCAGAAATAGATAAATGAAGGGCTAAGTGATAGCAGCAGTCCCTACAAATGCCCTGCGATAGCCCTATGGGGGCTTTACGAAGGCCCCACAGGCCAAGTATTTAGGTCTAAATAGGGGTGTCTGACTGTTAAGCGCAGATACCCCCCGAGACTAGGCTTTTTTAGCTAAATTGCTAACACTAAGGAACATACTAAGACTTCAATATAGCTTCATCTTTTTATTTAAGATCTATATTAACGATAGCAGTGTTATTAATTTAATTTACGGAGAGATTTCTATGCTACAGTATAAATCTGGGTGTGTGGTGTAAAAGATCTCCGGTGCCAAGCATTCCAGATGTTTTTGAATACGCTAATTGGAAATCTAGGGTCTTTCAACACCATCATTTGAATCTAAGCACAATCATCCTTTCATGGCATGAAGTCGTCCACGCGTGAATTTCACATGCTCAAGAACTTCGAAGAACTTCGCTAGCTCTGAAACTCTCCACCAGTGAGTGCCGCTTGCGGCCAAGATGAGTCTGCCTCTCCTGCAGCTCAATGCTCCCGATGGTCCAAATGGTCCGTCCAAAGACCTTAGACCGTTCAAGTTCAATTTGGACCTTTAGTCCTAATAGTCAACGGAGTTGACATCAAAACGGTTAGTATATCACTTGCAAGAGCTTAATTAGTGCGCTTGATTGCTGCCAAGAAGCTGACTAAGAGTTCCATTTTCAATCGAAAGCCTTGAATGTGATCCCAAATTATCAGACACTTAATTTGGACCCTCCGTCCGCATGCCTTGGACGGTCTATGGTGCGTCTAAAAGATGCTCGGATGGTCCAGAATGGACCGTTCGGTCCGTCCGTCCACAAACTGGGGACGGACCATGGGGAGTAATGCTCCTGCTGAACCTAATTATGACCCTTCCCTGAG